ACGCGCACCGTGCGGCTGGTGCGGCGCCGGCGATGCATCGCCTGGGCCGGCGGCGGCGGCGCCAGCCGCTAGGACGGAGTCACTACACACTCTCGGTCTCTCGTCTTGTACTACTTTGTAATAAAAGACATTTGTGCAAACTTTAAGCTGCGTTATTGACGTCTTTATGAGAAGCGCACTTCACTCTGCGATCTGTCCGCGATGAATCATTGACATCATCGTCGGTGGTGGTGCTGACAATCTGCTCTGCACGTCGCGCTCTGTCGAGGGTTCAGTCGCTTTGCCGGAATGCCTCGATGCGCACGGCAGCTGCACCGTAGTGGCTCGGCGATGTGTGCACTCGCAACCGGCGTTCAGTTACCTCGCTGGAGGGTCAAGGCTCTGAATGCAATCGCTTCAAGCCAGGCGTGTCCGCAGACACTTGTCCCAGACAGAGCCCTGCACCGCACACTTCGACATGACCGAGATGACTGGCTGATGCACCACCTGTGCCCCCTACTGTGCCAACTTGCTGTGCTTTAGCCACCCGGCGCTCCGCTCGTTGTACGCACACACACACAACCGCCATTCGCCACTAAGTGGCGGTGACGTCACCACGACGCTTGTGCCAGGCCACGTGCACCTTGAGGCCACCACGTGAAGTGTCGAACGCCCGCTGGCAGGAGGAGGTCACGGGGCAGACCCAGCAGGTGCCACGGGTCGACTGACCGAGATGGAGTGACACACACACACAAGTACACACACACAGACATCGACTTACACACACAAGTACACACACACAGACATCGACTTACACACACACAAGTACACAGACATCGACTTACACACACGCACAAGTAAACACACAGACATCGACTTACACACACACAAGTACACACACACAGACATCGACTTACACACACACACAAGTACACACACACACAGACATCGACTTACACACACACAAGTACACACACACAGACATCGACTTACACACACAACAAGTACACACACACAGACATCGACTTATACACACACAAGTACACACACAGACATCGACTTACACACACACACAAGTACACACACACAGACATCGACTTACACACACAGACATCGACTTACACACACACACACAAGTACACACACACACAAGTACACACACACAGACATCGACTTACACACACAGACATCGACTTACACACACACACAAGTACACACACACAAGTACACACACACAGACATCGACTTACACACACACACAAGTACACACACACAGACATCGACTTACACACACACAAGTACACACACACACATGGAGTGACACACACACATGGACACACACACGCGATAGTCTATTTCCATGTGATCCCAACGGAAATCGATTCCATTAGCTTAATAAACTATAAATCGATTCCCATGTTATCCCAATAGAAATCGACTCTATACATCCACTACGCTACAGGAATCGATTCCTAATGTTATCCCATTAAGAATCGACGCAAGTAAAGTTAATCGAACCGGGAATCGAATTTCTCTGCACCACGTGACTTGAGAAACTGAAACACGTGGGTCCCAGGTGGGTGTCATGGCGGTGCAAGAACTCTTCTCGAGACTTGGCCTACTCTTCCTCTCCGTCCTCGTCACGTGTACACACGGTGAGCCCAGCCAGAGGTGGTTGATACATCGGGTACCAGGTTGTGGTGGACGTGGGGAGCGGTGGTGAAGTGGTTAGCGCACTGTGTGTGTGGGGAGCGGTGGTGCAGTGGTTAGCACACTGTGTGTGGGGGGGGGAGCGGTGGTGCAGTGGTTAGCGCACTGTGTGTGTGGGGAGCGGTGGTGCAGTGGTTAGCACACTGTGTGTGTGTGTGGGGAGTGGTGGTGCAGTAGTAAGCGCACTGTGTGTATGTGTGTGGGGAGCGGTGGTGCAATGGTTAGCGCACTGTGTGTGTGTGGGGAGTGGTGGTGCAGTGGTTAGCGCACTGTGGGGAGCGGTGGTGCAGTGGTAAGCGCACTGTGTGTATGTGTGTGGGGAGCGGTGGTGCAGTGGTTAGCGCACTGTGTGTGTGTGTGGGGAGTGGTGGTGCAGTGGTTAGCGCACACTGCCCATCTCCCCAGCTGCGACTCCCCCTCTGAATGTCCGCGTGGAGTCTCGCGACCTGCTGACGCAACTCCGCTGGGACCACGACGCTCAAGTGGACGTCGCCACCAGCAGCAGCTCAAAGCTCCTGGACGTTGCCTACAGGGTGGACAGCAAACTGTGAGATGCTCGCTCACTCGCTCACCCACCCACCCACTCACTCACCCACCCACCCACTCACTCACCCACCCACTCACTCGCTCACTCACCTACCAATCCACTCACTCAACCATCCACTCACTCATTCGCTCACCAACTCACTCACTCACCCACTCACTCACCCACTCACTCAACCATCCACTCACTCACTCACCCACTCACCCACTCACTCAACCATCCACTCACTCGCTCACCCACCCACTCACCCACCCACTCACTCGCTCACCCACCCACTCACTCAACCATACACTTGTAGGGGTGTTAAAGAGAGGGCCCGTTATGCATGGCAGCCTATGGAAAACAAACACAGTGGGCGGGGCTACGTAAGTGCACGAGGAGGTGCCCTCTACGACGTCCGAGCCAGACACCCTGGGGGGGGCTGGTTCGAACGTTATGATCCCCCGGGGCCCCACCCCTCAGGGAGGGGTTGGGTATAAAAGGGGATGTTTCAAAGGGCTCGAGAGTTATGTTTTAAGCTAAAGGAAGAAGACTGAAGACGTCTTAGATAGAGCCCTGGACTCCCCTAGTTCGATGTCCTTTTCAGGGCCGGACAGGACTGAGCCAGTGGCGTGGTCCCGAAAGCCAGAGCCGGTGCTCTTGTAAGAGCTGGTCTGGAACTCCGGGTACCGGGCCCGACTTACCAGTGTCGGGCCAGATAGCCTCCCCTAGCCCATTAGTGGAGGACTCGGGGCTAGGACAGAGTTATCAAGGGGTGTATCCCGAGTTATACGGGTGAGGGGGCCGATACCCCTCGAGTGTTATATGCCCACTGTCGTATTGTGAAATAAATATACGTGTGCCTCAACCTCGGTGTCAAGCGTCCTCACCGGTACTTCACACTCACTCGCTCACCCACCCACTCACTCACCCATCCACTCACTCACCCATCCACTCACTCGCTCACCCACCCACTCGCTCACCCACTCGCTCACACATCCACTCACTCAACCATCCACTCACTCGCTCACCCACTCACTCGCTCACCCACGCACTCACGCACCCATCCACTCACTCATCCATCCATCCACTCACCCACTCACCCACTCGCTCACCCACCCACTTACTCATCCATCCATCACTCACCCACCCATCCACTCACCCACCCATCCACTCACCCACCCACTTACTCACCCACCCACTTTCTCACTCACCCACCCACTCATGCACCCACCCACTCACTCTCCCACTCACACACTCAACCACCCACTCACCCACCCACTCACTCACTGACTAATGCACTCACCCACCCACTCACTCACCCACTCACTCACTGACTAACTCACTCACCCACCCACTCACTCACTGACTCACCCACTCACTCACTGACTAACGCACTCAACTACCCACTCACTCACTCACCCACTCACTCACTCACTCACCCACTCACTCACTGACTAATGCCCTCACCCACCCACTTACTCACCCACTCACTCACTGACTAACACACTCAACCACCCACTCACCCACTCACTCACTGAATAACTCACTCACCCACCCACTCACTCACTGACTCACCTACTCACTCACTGACTAACGCACTCAACTACCCACTCACTCACCCACTCACTCACTTACCCACTCACTCACTGACTACTGCACTTACCCACCCACTTACTCCCACCCACTCTGTCACTCACCCACTCACCCACTCACCCACCCACCCACTCACTCACTGACTCACCCACTCACTCACCCACCCACTCACTCACTGACTCACCCACTCACTCACCCACTTACCCACTCACTCGACCACTCACCCGCTTGCTCACTCACCCACCCACTCACTCACTCACCCACTCACTCACCCACTCACTCACTGACTCATCCACCCACTCACCCACCCACCCACTCACCCACCCACTCACCCACTCACTCACTCACCCACTCCTCACCACCTCCTCCTCCCCGTGTCTCTGTCTGTGCAGCTATGGACGAGCCCGCTGGCGGACCGTCTGCGCTGCCACCGCAGAGACACGGTGCGATGTCTCCTCAGCGCTGCGACATCCTGGCGACCGCTATCACCTTCGCGTCAGATCCACCGTCTCATCGCCACCAACATCACCACCATCATCATCACCACCACCACCATCGCCACCACCATCACTACCATCATCATCACCCTGGGTCGTGGTTGAGGTGTTACCCTTGAAGACAAGTGAGTGGCATTGTCTATGTTTCTCTCTCTGTGTGTGTCTCTGTCTCTGTGTGTCTCTGTGTGTGTCTGTCTGTGTGTGTGTCTCTGTGTGTGTCTTCGCCGGTTGGAAACATTTAGGCTGGCCTGCTTACGATCCATCCTGGGTTTAACCAGGCTGGATTGTGTGAGGAGCTCACAAATCCTTGAATGATCTGGGCAAAGTCCCATTGGTAAACTCCTCCGGCAGGCAAGGCTGCGTTGGCTGGGTCATGTAGCCTGCATGCCCAGCCACCGCATGCCTAAACAGCTTTAGTTCGGCCGGATCGAGGGGGCTAAACGGGTGCGGCACGGGCTAGAGAAGAGATGGGGTGATGTGGTACAAAAGGACGTGGAGCTGAGTGGACTTGCCGATGACTGGTACCAGCGGTGTCAAGATCGGCCTCTGTGGAGGAGGCTCGTGAAGGACGCTACTGGGCAGTTGGAGGCAGTCGCCCTCCACCAACAACGGAGGGTGGAGGAGCGACGCTCACAACACGAGCGGAGCGCCGGGTGGCTAAAGCACAGCAAGTTGGTACAGTAGGGGCACAGGTGGTGCAATCAGCCAGTCATCTCGGTCATCTCGGTCAGATCGACCCGTGGCACCTGCTGGGTCTGCCCCGTGACCTCCTGCCAGCGGGCGTTCGACACTTCACGTGGCAGCCTCATGGTGCACTTGGCCTGGCACAAGCGTCGTGGTGACGTCACCGCCACTTAGTGGCGAATGGCGGTTGTTGTTGTTGTCTCTGTGTGTGAGTGTCTCTGTGTGTCTGTGTGTCTCTGTGTGTGTCTCCGTGTGTGTGTCTGTGTGTGTCTCTGTGTGTGTGTGTGTCTGTGTGTCTCTGTGTGTATGTCTGTGTGTGTGTCTGTGTGAGTGTCTGTGTGTGTGTGTCTGTGTGTGTGTGTCTCCGTGTGTGTGTCTGTGTGTGTGTCTGTGTGTGTCTGTGTGTATGTCTGTGTGTGTCTGTGTGTGTCTCTGTATGTGTGTCTGTGTGTGTCTGTGTGTCTCTGTGT